CTTTGACTTAAAGTCCCTTTTTGTTGACTTTTGAAAATGACCTATAATGTTGAAATTGATAACTTTTTGTGAGAGCATTTCTTGGACTTGAAGTATGAAGATGAGTTGTAGGAAATGTATTTCTCTTCAAAATGAGCTTTGGATGGAATTTTTCTGATAATCCATGTGAAAGTTATGCCCTGGTCAATTTCAGTTGACTTTTTCAGCTGTCCAAATATAGCAACTTTTGCATCTTTGATGATTTCTGAGCCAAATTTTGAGAATCATGATCAAGCATTGATCAAATGATGTTTGTGGCTTCAAAATGATATATTGACCAAAAATTTGAACTTTTGACTGCCAAATGACCATTTTGCCCCTACAGTTGACTGTAGTGCAATCTAGGGTTTTGACTGTGCAATTTTGAGCTGAATGCCTTGAAACTTGACATGAGGATACTTGACCATCTTTTTAAGCATATGAGACTTGATTGGGCCTTTGAAAAGTTCATTTACTTGACCAGAACTCAAACCCTAGTATTGACTGTATAGAAGACAGTTGAGCTGCACAACCCTTGGGGAATTTTGTGACCTTGACTTGGCAATTTCTTGATGAATATGGGAGGGCAAATTTTGGGGTACAACAACTGCCTTAGCCGGCGAGCAGCCCATACCAAAGCGCAACAAGTTTTCTCGAGCAGTGAGTATCGGGTCTCACAGTCGGTAAACTTTTTGCTAAGGTAATAAATGGCATGCTCTTTTTGGCCAGACTTGTCACGTTGGCCCAATACGCACCCCATTGAATTCTCTAGGACAATCAGATACATGATTAGTGGTTTTCCTTCAACGGGAGGCATCAAGATGGGAGGTTCTAGCAAATATTCCTTGATTTTATCAAAAGCAACTTGACAGTCATCATTCCATTTAACCACCTGATCTTTCTTCAACAGCTTGAATATTGGTTCACGGGTAGATGTTAGGTGAGAAATGAACCTTGCAATGTAGTTTAGGCGTCCCAAGAAACCTCTGACCTCCTTTTCAGTGCGAGGGGCATGCATTTCTTGTATAGATTTGACTTTGGCAGGATCAACCTCGATGCCTTTGTTGCTGACAATGAAACCCAAGAGTTTACCAAACCTGACTCCGAAAGTGCACCTTTTAGGGTTCAGTCTGAGCTTGTACTCCTTCAACCTGACAAATAACTTTTGCAGATGGTCGAGGTGTTCTTCTTCTGTCTGTGAACGGGCTATCATGTCGTCTACGTAGACTTCAATCTCATGATGTATCATGTCATGAAACAAAGCTAACATGGTGCGCTGATAGGTTGCCCCGGCATTCTTCAGTCTGAATGGCTTCACTTTATAGCAGAAGGTACCCCACTGTGTAACACAAGTAGTTTTCTCCATGTCTTCATGTGCCATTTTGATCTGGTTGTACCATGAAAATCCATCCATGAAAGAAAATACCTTGTGCTGAGTTGTATTGTCAACCAAGATGTCAATGTGCGATAGTGGAAAGTCATCTTTAGGGCTAGCCCTGTTTAAGTCTATGTAATCCATGCACATTCTCACTTTGCCACGGGCAAAATGTTAGCAACCCATTATGGATAGGAAGTAACAGCAAGAAACCCAGCATTGAACTGCTTCACAACTTCGGCTTTGATCTTTTCAGACATGTCGAGCCTCATTCGGTGGACTTTTTGTTTAATTGGTGGACAGTCTTCTCTTGTAGGGAGACAGTGAACCACAATATCTGTATCGAGTCCCAACATGTCTTTGTATGACCAGGCGAAGATCTCAACATATTCATTCAACAACTGAACTAGGCGCTCTTTGACACTTGGCTCTAGGTTGGCACCCACTTTGACTTCTTTTCTGTCTTCAACAGTACCCAAGTTGATTGTCTCTAACATCTCCTCATGAGGTAGAATTGCTCTTTCTTCCTGTTGTAGAAGTCTGGCCAACTCTCTCTGCACTTCACAGTCTTCATCACCTTCGTATTCGACATGGTAGACCAGATCTTCAGAGTCACTAAAGGCCATAGCAGAATTGTTACCCATAAAATCCGGAATGGATGGGTACCTGCATTTGTGAGTATGGGTGTGTGTAAGGGATATCCACCTTTAAACAAATAAAATGTAAAAAGAAAAACAATGAACACAAAAGTTTATATGTGAAAACGTCTATGACTCATTAAAATGACATATGAAGATGAAAAATCAAACCCTTACAAATGGACCTATGTACCTCGGGTAAGGCACAAGGCTAAAAGTGTACGAATTGTTTAAGAATTATTACAAACCAACAGAAATGTTTGAAAGATAAATTCTTGATTCATGAAAGTAATGGGAACAAAGTCTTTTGCCTCCCACTTTCATAGTCCTCCTTCAACAGTAGGGAAAATCCAGTCTTCCAGGTTGCTCTCTTCTTCACCATCCTCCAAAGCACTGACTCCATGATGGGTGATCTTTACTGGCGGCCATCCAGCCCGGGAGCGGCGCACAACCTTCTGACTAGCCGAAGTAAACCCTAGGCCGAACTTATCTGATTTGAAAGGAAAGTCGGGGAGCTGCCCCCAGATAGTGGATCCGCCTTCTTCAATCACAACCTTTGCATCTTTAAGGGATGACATCCGAGGCACAGGTTTGGTAACTGCAGGCACAGGAGACACTGTCTTGGTTGCCGCAATCTCAGGAGAAACCTCTTCAAAGTTTTGGAAAGGGGTCTCTATGAATTCACCATACCATTCTACGTAGCGGAAAGAAATTAGATGGCTTATCATGTATTCCTCTTCGCCATGAACTGTTATAATTTTCCCCTGGACAGGGTACTTAAGCATTTGATGCAGAGAAGAAGTGACGGCTCCAGCATTGTGAATCCAGGGTCTTCCTAACAAGCAAGAATAGGAAGGACGGATGTCCATCACATAGAACGTGAAGTTGAAGGTTTCAGTTCCCACTTTGATCGGGATGTCCACTTCTCCATGGACCATCCTTTTAGAACCATCAAAGGCTCTGACAATGATATTGCTGGTGTAATACCCCAAATTTGTCCTACCCTTCTACTTTTATCTGGTTTACGCATTGTCGCACTTTTCTCATGTACATATTTCCATTAGGTCATTTAACATTGCATACATTCACTAACAACATAACTTCGCAAGGGGTCGAGAACCTTCAGGATTAGGGTTTTATCAACTGGCTAAGGTGTATATGTTCAAATAGAGCCTGATTCTTCTGGTTATTTTTCAAGACAATGAAATTGCGGAATTAGGGTTTTGTGTTCATGGATGTTGTGGATCTTTTCTTCATCAAGCTACAAGGTCATCCTCCATCAAGAATTCATCCAGAGCAAAGTACATTAGGGTATTTACTTATGGTATTTAGTGTCTCATCAAGGTTGTAGTTGAGGTTATTTTGAATCGGGATTTTGGCTTAAGCTATCTTTCTCCTTATTGAGTATCCAACACCAGAGAATTAGGTATTACCTATACTTACACTTAAGTTTTGTTCAGTTGAGGATCGTTAGATATCCATGAGTTATTCTGTGCTTCAAGCCTTATCATTCGTTCCTAGGGATTCAAAGCACTAATTTTGTCGATCATCAAGTAAAGACGTAATACCAGGATGATGTTACGAATTCACTAAGATTAAGGCATTATTGGTTCTCTCATTTCTTGTTTTCATTATGGTGAAAGTATTCGTTCAAGTGATTATTTGGGGTCATGAGTTCAAGTGGTTCGAATTTGTTAAATTGGACCAATATTTTAAGAGGCAAAGCGTATTGAGTTTGGAAAGTCCATCCACGTGGATTCCTTGAAATTCAAGCCACTTCGAAGAAGAAAGCACACCATGTTCATCCATGATCAAGATTTTGGATTTCAAATAAAAGTCTTTCTTTAGTCATCGTTGAGTTTATCTCGTGAGTCATCCATAAAAAAAGTTCGATATCATATGTTTCATTCAAGTCGCAAATGAAGAGAAGCATTGGGAGCTCTTAGTTCTATTTGAAGAGAACTTGATTTTGGATAGGAGATTGAAGATTTGGAATTGTCAAATTAATATTACATTCAAGAACATTCAAGTTTCATTCAAATTTCCACCAAGTAAAAAAGGGTTCAAAGCCATTTCTTTAGATTATTCATCATGAAAGTAAAAAAGGGTTCAAAGCCATTTCTTTGGATTACTCATCATGAAAGTGAAAGCAAACTTCTTTACAAAGCAAAAGAATTCATATTTTATGTTACATTCAATCATACCATTATAACTCCAAACCATCTACTTTCCAAAATAGAAGGAATTTACACAAAGAAAATGCACCGAATATTACAAAATTACAAATAAATCCAAGCCCCATGACCAAGCCTTTCCCAACTTTTCACATCATGAGTCGAGTCTCCATTTAACCTAATACTATTACTATGCCTTTTATCCAAGTGAATTCTTTAAGCCCTCCATCGTTCTTCAAACCCTTCATAGCCTGCATCATTAAGGAAACCAATCTCAATTAGACAAAGTTCGGACAACCCTGTATCAATTGATAAGAAAAACCAGTTCGCTATGCATCCATAACAGAAAATCAATAACAAATAGAACTAGTAACAAACTTCAACAGAATTTGACAAACTGTCACAACCAAACCAAAATAGAACAACTAATTTCTAACAACTTTCCATTTTCTAACTACCTAACAAACCTCTCCTTAACCATAACAAACTTCTTAACCGCTTCTAACAGATTCCAACAAACTTCCAGCTAATCATTCCCAACTAACTTCCTAACAGAACCTGGAACAAAATTTCTGATATAACAGATCGAGGATCTTAGAGAGAGGGATTCATTTTTTTTACACATTCAGAAACTCGCAAAGAAAAAGAGAGAAACTTTCTCACCCAAAATTCACAAACAGAAAAAATCACATAGAACTCACCAGAAAAATCTTCAAACTTAGAACCTCTGCACCCTGCATATTCTTCATCTATCATCTACCTTCTGTAATCAACACCAACCACAGGCTCTATTCTTCAATCATCATAGTGTTCATCCTTTAATCTTCTTCGCCCTCGATTCATCATGGGAATCGTATTGCAGCAAGCACGGTATTCTGCAAGAACGGAGATGAATCGCAACATCAATATCCATTGAGGATCGCAATGGAAGATGCGAACAGTAGCAAAAGGTGAAGATAAAAAAAGAGGACCAAAAATACCTGAGATTATCTTCATAAAAGGTACATGAATCTCCCTCGCTTTCGGTCGTTCTTCATGCAATTATGGAGAGTGAGAATAGAACGATCGAATACCCATGGGTTCGAATGCTAAAGCTCAGGGATGAGCGCTTAATTTAGGATATGAAGACTTAGGGTTCCATTTTACTCTTCCGATTTGGCCGTTCTCTGAATCTTCGAAAGAAATTGGCAATGAATTTGAAGTTAGGGAATCATCGAAGATGGAGGTCCGCGTCTGAACGAAGGACGGGATGATGGATACGGCGGGGTTCGTAGTGCAAAGTTATGGAATTTCAGAGAAAGCGACAACGAAGATGACACGGAGGCGTTGTGACTAATCGTTGGCGGCGAAATAATCCTGGAAAACACCTTGGAAGCCTTAGTGCTGCAATCCGTGAAGATGTTGATCGGAGAGGAGCAGGGTCACAAAGAGGAAGACATGCGAAGAAGAGGAAGAGGTTCGAGCTCTCAAAGGAAGCCGCCGCGCTTCGTGAGGGAGATGAAGAGACATATTTTATCTTACAACCCTAATCCCTTTTCAATTTTCAGTTTCAACATTTAGTTTTTTATTTTTTTTTAACTATTTTTTTTCTCTCAATAAGCTGAACAAAAGCATGGGCCAAACCGAATTCCACTAAGCCCATCACCATTTTTTTGGAAATTGGAAGCAATAAAAACCTGCCATTGGACTTCATCTAATGGGCCTGCATTGTTAATCATCACCTTATATCATGTTTAGCACCCCTCTGTTTGATGTTTTTGACTCCCCTTTAATAGTTTCTATTAACTTTCCTCTTCATTAATTTTTGTAGCATAAAATTACGATAAAAGGTGGTATAGAAATTGTAATGATTTTTCTTTAGGTTTGTTTAGAAATTCTTTAAAATTTAACTATGTTATTGTTGTTGGATAATCATTTGTAAATTATTTGGCAATCAGTTGTTGCTATTTTTTGTCATAATTTTGTGATCTAATGACTATTGCAATTATGTGTGATATTGGTAAGTAAAAGGGACCAGGTTGAAAAATTCCAAGAGGTTTTCAAAGCAGGTATAGAACCACAATTCTCATCAAGAAAAATTCAAAGAGGCATCTGTAGAGTTTTCTTATGGCTTGCATGGTTATGAAGAGGCAACGGACCTCCTCCGTTCGGTATCGCCACAACTCTATTTTATTCTTACCTTACCGCAATCCATATGCGTGCTAACATTAGGTAAAATTCCCTCAAATTCTAACTTTAGGTCTAACAATACATAATAACATTAGATGTAGAAATAGGCTAGTCTCCTTTTAACTTTTCTTCCCCTTTTGCATATGCATTTAAAACAAAAACTTCTTTTTTCTTTCGAAATTCAAAACACTTCAAAACTACTGATGAGAATCATGTTTTTGCTTAGTATGGGAAATGATAAGCGGGTCTCTTCTCGATCTTATTGTTCTTCATCTCAAGCATAGGTGTGGTTCAATTCTCAAAGACTCCTTTCATAGCTAAGTAGAAAAGTGGCTAATATCTCTCTCTTGAGGTCAACTAGTCATCATCTGCAACAAAATACAAACCAACTCAAATCTTTTGTGCGTTCAAGCACCTTTCTTAAAAAACCCTTTTCAGGTAAGGACACGATTATTTTACTTCTGTTCCAACGCATAAGTCTCCAAAGGTCGAGCTGCGGCAGAAGGCGGAATTAACTTCGTCCACAAAAAACACAAACAAACCAAACATATGATCCGAACTACGGTAGCTCTGATTCCTCAAAACGGATACGTAGGCACTGGAGTAGGGCCTAGGCGAGCACAATTTTATTTTCCCTACATTCTTTTCCCTTCTCTTTTGCATGCATTCTCTCCAGTATAGTAAACAGTAAGCATAGATTAAACACACCCATAAGATAGACAACAAGAGTGGATACCGTAGAGTACTACGGGCGTGTGGGGTGCTAATACCTTCCCCTCGCTTAACAGACTCCCTTACCCGATCTCTCGGTCGCAAGACCGTAACTTCTCCCTTCTCAGGTTTTCTCGATGTTTACCTTTCCCTACATGTGGGATAAAATACGTTCGATGGCGACTTCATTGTTTGATGATTTTCAGCCGGTTGTTTCAGCTGGCGACTTCACTGGGGATAGGTCGACCAAATGCTGGTCCATCCCGGAGTCGCTCCTAGCTCTTGCTTTCTTTTCTTTGGGTGTTTATTTTTACATGCTTTCAGTTTATTCACTCATTCTTGAGCATACGTATGCATTGCATTTTACTGTTTTCCATATACTACTGTTGTACTGGATTTGCTTCTTGTTTGGGTGGGGATGCTACTATCGAGGTAAAAGGTCCAGTACCCAGGCCAGAGTGCATTAGAACACCTAGGAATAGAGTGGGGGCATGACGGCTATAGAACATGGTTCGATTAGTGCAGTCATGTCATATACCATGCTCGGATTAGCTTCAAATGAATTACTATCAGCGCCCACGTCTGTGGGTAAGCCCATAGCACTTTCAGGCGGACCCGTGATTTTCGAGTTACCATTGTCTTACCCTGACCTAGTTTTCACTCGTGAGTGAGGAGGGAATCATTATCAAAGGTACAAATGGTGGCTATGTTCAAAGGGTTACTCATGCTCGGATGGTGACTACGCTCAGACGGTAACTATTGGTTCTGATGGTTGTGATCTGGATTTCTGTTATGACTTTATGCAGATGCTATATCCTGTTGGTGACCGCATGGTTCTCAGATTTATTTTCTGAGTTTCTGACTTGTTTACTTGGAGGTTCATTCAAGCCTTCAATCTTGGTATTCCCAACATATTCAGAAAATTCTCAACAGTATCCGATGTTCCAGAAGCCTCGATCCCGTACAATGGGAGATCCACATGGTACTTCGTTCTTATATGTGCAGAAGCTATGTCGGACCTTTGCTCTGATGATACTCATATGGTTCAGAATAGTGCAGCAATCATATTCAGGAATGATGGAACCTTGATCCTCTTTGATCTCATGCCTTTGCATACATAACATGGCTAACCACATGCTTAACATACATGTTCTATTATTTCCAAGGGATCATATTTGCAAGTCTTGTGCTAAACTCTTCCATCCCTTACTTGCGCAAAATCAAAATCAAAGCACGCAAATTCCTTGGAAATGACAGAACATGACATGGCATTCATTCATGCACCCCATGCATTTCATGCATTCATAGCAGGTACCCGAAGATTGGGGATTCTTATTCAGACCCAGGGCTTTCTTCAAAGGTTTAACTTGATTCTTACCGTCACCAGAGATCAGTTATGGAATAAATCTGAGTGATATACATGCAAGATTTGGCCCGTAGTCAGAAATTTCTTCAAGCAGGAGGATAATTGATTAAAGACTCAGATAAGCCAGGTCATGGAAACTTCGATGATGATGTCTATTATTTCTTTAAGACATGATATGTTTGGTGATGCATATTATACTGGGGTACTTGGCCAATCGATTGAAGATGGTATGTCATCCAGAGACCAAGTCCAAGACTGGATCAATTCAGAGACTGTCATGCTCACATCAGATCTGAAAGGAAATTCTCTCGCACACTCGAGCATCAAGACTACAGAAATTCATCAAAATCAAGAAGTCTATACGGAGTCAAGTCTCCTCAACAATGGCAATCATTGGTTTCTTTAACTGCATTTTCATTTGCATTCTTGCTTGTTTGTTTAAACATTGCTTGTATATGGAAACTTGTCTATTTTTGAACGGAAATCTTAATGCAATAAGTATGCTTGTCTTGAAGTGTTCCTTTCATTTGTACTCATCCATTAGTTATCACTCTTTAAATGTTTTACTTGCATATTGATGCAAAATTTCCTAGTCTTATGCTCAGGTAGAGATTCAAAGGAGGATGACAACAATCTGAAAACGCAAAATCTCTGGTTGGTACGCTTTTGAGTAAGACCCTGCTGACGATGTACATGCCTTGTTTCAATTCCTAAACACCGGAGATATAAGGGAGATAGACCCTCGTTAACCCCTCTGAGCCTTCGAAGTAGGAGTTTTCTTTCTGTTCAGAAAAAACCTCGTTTCAACCCTGGGGTGGGTAGTTTCAGTTAATCTAATCAAGTGTTCAGAACTCATCAAGAGCGTGCATCCAAGGATACAACAATGGTTATCCATCAAAAGGTTGAGAAAAGTCAAAACCAAAATGGTTAATCCTCATCTATCAGCAACATGCATCGTTTGACAATATCCCAATGGGTATCTCTCGCACATCAGGAGGCCAACAAATGACAATACTATAATGGTTATCTTTTGACTCTGGGATGGACCAGCATTTGGTCGACCTATCCCCGGTGAAGTCGCCAGCTGAAACAACCGGCTGAAAATCATCAAACAATGAAGTCGCCATCGAACGTCTTTTAACCCACGTGTAGGGAAAGGTAAACATCAAGAAAACCTGAGAAGGGAGAAGTCACGGTCTTGCAACCGAGAGATCGGGTAAGGGAGTCTGTTACGCGAGGGGAAAGTATTAGCACCCCACACGCCCGTTGTACTCTACGGTATCAACTCTTGTTGTCTATCTTATGGGTGTGTTTAATCTATGCTTACTGTTTACTATACTGGAGGGAATTCATGCAAAAGAGAAGGGAAAATAATGTAGGGAAAATAAAATTGTGCTCGCCTGGGCCCTACCCCAGTGCCTACGTATCCGTTTTGAGGAATCAGAGCTACCGTAGTTTGGCTCATATGTTTTGTTTGTTTGTGTTTTTTGTGGACGAAGTTAATTCCGCCTTCTGCCGTAGCTCGACCTTTGGAGACTTATGCGCTGGCACAGAAGTAAACTAATCGTGTTCTTACCTAAAAAAGGGTTTTTTAAGAAAGGTGCTTGAACTCACAAAAGGTTTGAGTTGGTTTGTATTTTGTTGCAGATGATGACTAGTTGACCTCAAGAGAGAGATATTAGCGACTTTTCTACTTAGCTATGAAAGGAGTCTTTGAGAATTGAACCACACCTAGGCTTGAGATGAAGAA